CGTCGCGGTTTAGAGTCTTGGGGTGCGTTTGGGCGTCTCTGAACTAGAATGGCCGCACAGGCCTCACTTCTCGTGGGTGTATACACCTAGGACCGTACACTCGGAGTGGAATTGCTCGGTCACGTAGGAACTCAGGCTTGGGGCGCCTGGGGACTCAGTCAAGCGTAGGCTTTCGGCTCAGGGCATGATCCCGGGGTCCTGGGATCGAGCCCCACATCGGGCTCCCTGCTCGGCCGGAAGCCTGCTTCTGTCTTTCCTTCTGCCTGCCGCTCTGCCTGCTTGTGCTTGCTGTCAAATAAAGACTTGAAGAAAGAAAGGAACTCTGGATTTAGCATTTTGCGGAAATGACAGTTTCCCATAGCAGCTGCCCCCGAGGGTTCCGCCAGCCCCGCGTGCATCCGTGAGCACCGCGTCTCTCCGCGTCCTCGCTGACCGTCACTGTGCGCTTCCTGTTGTGGCCGTCCTCCTGGGCGCGAAGGGGCATCTTGGGTGGCCCCCACCCCCATTTCCTTATCGATTAGTGATGTTCAGCGTATTTTTACGTGCTAATGGGCCATTTGCATATCTTCTTTGGAGAAATGTCTATTTAAATCCTTGGCCTGTTATATTTTTATTCTATTATTTTTAAGTAATCTCTACACTCATCGTGGGTCTCCGGCTCACAAGCCCTAGGTGAAGCATCACATGCTCCAGCAACTGAGCCAGCCAGATCCCCCAAAATTGGGTTATCTTTTTATTGTTGAATCTTAGGCGTTCTTTTTTATTTCTAAATACTAAGTCTTTGTGATTTGCAAATATTTTCTCTCATTCTATTGATTGTCTTTTCACTTCCTTCACTGGTATTCTTTGAAACAAACATTAAAAAAAATTTTTTTAGACTTTATTTATTTATTTGACAGACAGAGATTACAAGTAAGCAGAGGGGCAGGCAGAGAGAGAGGAAGGGAAGCAGGCTCCCTGCTGAGCAGAGAGCCCGATGCAGGGCTGGATCTCAGGACCGTGGGATCATGACCTGAGCCAAAGGCAGAGGCTTTACCCCACTGAGCCACCGAGGTACCCCACAAACATTTAAATTTAAAAAACATTTTATTTGAGACCTCTGGGTGGCTCAGTCGGTTAAGCATCTGCCTTCGATTCAGGTCATATTCTCAGGGTACTGGGATCAAGTCCTACATCAGCTCCCTGCTCAGCAGGGAGCCTGGTTCTCCCTCTGGCTGCTGCTCCCCCTGCTTTGTGCTCTCTCTCTAATAAATACATAAATATTTTTTAAAGCCTTTGAAATTAAAAATAATATTTTATTTATTTGAGAGACAGAGAGTATGACCAGGGGGAGAGGCAGAGGGAGAAGCAGGCTCCCTGCAGAGTAGGAAGCTTGATGCAGGGCTTGATCTCAGGATCCTGAGAAGGCAGACACCCAACTGACTGAGCCACCCAGGCGCCTCTCCACTCTGACCTTTTTATTTCTTTCCTTCTGCTTTTTGTTTTGTTTTGTTTTAGTTTGCTCTTCTTTTTATAGTTTCTTTTTTTTAAGATTTTATTTATTTAACAGAGATCACAAGTAGGCAGAGAGGCAGGCAGAGAGAGAGTGGGAAGCAGGCTCCCTGCTGAGCAGGGAGCCCGATGTGGGGCTCGATCCCAGGACCCTGAGATCATCACCCGAGCCAAAGGCAGAGGCTTTAACCCACTGAGCCACCCAGGTGCCCCTTTTCGTAGTTTCTTAAGTAGGACGCTTGATCTATTGATTTAAGATCTTTCTTCATTTTTAAAATAGGCATTTACAGGGGCATCTGGGTGGCTCGGTGGGTTAAAGCCTCTGCCTTCGGCTTGGGTCATGATCTCAGGGTCCTGGGATCGAGCCCCACATCGGGCTCCCTGCTCAGCAGGGAGCCTGCTTCCCTCTCTCTGCCTGCCTCTCTGCCTACTTGTGATCTCTCTCCCTCTCTGTCAAATAAATAAATAAAATCTTAAAAAAAATAAAAATGATATGAAATAGGCATTTACAGGGACAAGTTTCCCTGTGAGCACTGCTTATGCTGCACCCTAAGCTTTAATGTGTTTGTTTTCCTTTTCACTCATCTCACAATGCTTGCCCTGTGATTTCTTCTTTGACCCACTGGTTGTTCAGGAGCATGTTGTTTCTTTTCTACGTATTTGTGAATTTCTCAAATCCCTTCCTGTTACAGATCTCTGTTTCATTTCCTTTTAGGGAATATTTTGTGACTTCGGTCTTTTGAAATTTTTTTTTTAAGATTTATTTATTTGAGATATGGAGAGAGAATCTTGAACAGACGCTCCGTTGACGCAGGTCTCGATCCCAGGCTGAAATCAAAAGTCAGACCCTTAACCGACTGAGCCACCCAGGAGCCCCTAATCTTTTTGTTATTGTTTTAATCTTTTAAAATGTATTGAGTTAGGGGCCCCGGGGTGCCTCAGTGGGTTAGGCCTCTGCCTTCAGCTCAGGTTGTGATCTCAGGGTCCTGGGATCGAGCCCTGCATCGGGCTCTCTGCTCAGCGGGAAGCCTGCTTCCCTCCCACTTTCTCTGCCTGCCTCTCTGCCTGCTTGTGATCTCTGTCTGTCAAATAGATAAATGAAATCTTTTTAAAAAATTTATTGAGCTATGGTGAGGCCTAACATACGGCCTCTCTTGGAGCATGTCATATGTGCGCTTGAGAAGAACGTGTATTTTCCTGGTGTTGTGTGGAGTGGTCTTCCTGTGACCCTGCCGCAGTCTTCTACATACCACAGCTGGAGCGGGTTTTTGAATTGCGAGTCTGATCTAAACGATCCCCTGCTTCAGGTGAACTCTGGAGACAGAGTCCTATCTCTGCAAGATAGTTTGTAACATCCCCCTTGAACCTGCTCCTGACCACCTGTCCAGAATCATGTCTCCTCTTTACTTTGTAATTTTTTATTGCAGGAAAATATAAATAATGTAACGTAAAGTTCAGCATTTTAAACATTTTTGTTATATGATTCAGCAGCATTAATTACATTTGCATTACTGTGCAACCTCCCCTTTTCATTTGGACTCTAGGTTCCAGCCATCTGAACCATTTCGTGTGTTTCAGACATTCATTTAACAAAGGCTAGTGAATGTCTACTAGGAGACAGGCACTGTTTGAGGCACTGGATGTACATCAGGGGACATTTCTGTCTAGAAACTCCCTGCCCCATGCAGCTTGCATTTCTCAATGGAAACAAAACACACCAAATAATTACAAAACACAGCATGTTATTAGACGGTGACTCATGCTAAGAAAAAAAAAAGTAGGGAAGGGAATAGGAAGAGTGTGTGTGTGTGTGTGTGTGTGTGTGTGTGTTGAAATTTTAGAAAGAATCATCGGGGAAGGGGCCCCTGGGTGGCTCAGTGGGTTAAAGCCTCTGCCTTCTGCTCAGGTCATGATCCCAGGGTCCTGGGATCAAGCCCCGCATCAAGCCCCGCATCCAGCCCCGCATCCAGCCCCGCATCTAGCCCTGCATCAGGCTCTCGGCTCAGCGGGAAGCCTGCTCCCCCCCCCCCCCCGCCTACTTGTGATCTCTGTCCGTCAAATAAATAAATTTTTAAAATCTTAAAAAAGAAAAAAAAAAAAGAATCATCAGGGAAGGTCTCCCTGAGGAGACATTTGAATAAAGTCCAGAAGGAAGGAGTGAGGGAAGTCATTTCTCTATTTCGGGGAAATCCTTTCCAGACAGAGGGAAGAGACAGTACAAAGATCTTGAGGCAGGATCATGCCTGAAATAGTGAATGAAAATCCAAGAGGTCAATTTGACCAGTGCAGTCAGATCACGTAGGACCTTTACGAAGGTTTTCATCATTCCCAGCTGAAAATATAATCCAGAAAATTGATTCCTTAAATTCATTTTTTTTTTCCATCTGAGTGCAATAGGGAGCCACTGGAATGTTTGGAGCCTGGAAGTGATGGGATATGATCTTTCAAGAAACTACTTTGGCTGCTCTATGAAAACCCACAATAGGGAAACCGAGTATGGGACACAGAGACAACTAGGAGGCCACTGTAATAATCCGGGTGATAGACATAAAGGTGGCGTGACAAGGGGTCTGGCAGTGGAGATAGTGGGAAATGGTCAGATTCGGCAGATCAGATGTGGGTGGGATGAGAGAGAAACAGAAGTCAGGATGACTACCAACTTTCTGGCTTAAGGACGTGGAAGAGTGCGGTGGTCATGTACTGCCCTGGCAGAGACTGGAGGAAGTACCCGCGGGGAGGGAAGGCATCGGAAGCTCAGGTTGGGACATGTTAGGTTCCTTATGTCTAGCAGACATTCCGGCGAAGACACGTAACAGAAGCTGCATAGACAGGATTCTGGGGTGCAGGAGGAAAGTGGGCCGGACCCACCCTTTGAGTTCTCGGCGTGTGAAACGGCCACTTGCCGGTTCTCTGTTGCCGTGGGAGTGGTCAAGAGGGCCTTTGCAGGAGCCGCGCGCTCACTGGTGGGTCCTGGCGCGCAGCTTTCACGCTCCGGCGGCCCAACGCAGAGGCCGCTGCGCACACGGAGAGGTGCGGCTCCGGGGGCCGGGGCTGCATAGGCTGCGTGTGCGGACGAGCCGGGCAAGCAGCCGGCCGCGCTGGGCCGGGCCTCGGGGCGCAGGGCTGGGCGGGAGACTGGGCACGCAGCTGGCACCCGCAGCCTTGGGAGTGGCTGGGAGCGAGAGTCTCCGGCTGCCGGGAAAAGGGATGACGCATCTTCCCACATCCATTGTTTCCACTTCCCTCCAGCGCCTGCAGTCATCTCACAAGACGCTCCGAACCCGCCGCACCCCACGAGCGCGTCTTATTCCCACCGCGCCTCCCCTCGCACCGCGGCTGCGCAGAGCGGGCGGGACGTTACCCCACCCTGCCGGGGGCGGACCCTCCAGGCATCGACAACACGCGGAGGCGTGGCTCCGGGGACGCAGGGCGTCCACTGGGCGGACGCAGGGGCCTGCGGGCCAGACGCTTGGAGGTTGGGTCTCCGCGCGTGGGGGCCGCGGGGGGCTTCAGGCCAGCTGGAGCAGGCCGCGCTCGGCCAGCAGGCCCTGGGTGCGGTTGTAGACGTCCTCCAGGGTGCCCGCCACCCGGACCAGCGCAGCCCGCGCCTCCGCCTCTCCGGCGCCCGGGCACGCGAGCTCCAGCCAGCGGCCGCGACCCGGGAAGGCGAGGAACGCGAGGCGGGCGGCCTGGCGGACCACCCAGGGGTGGTGCGGGCCCAGGGCCGTGCGGTACGCGTCGCTGCACTGCACGCCGGCGTCCGGGCCTCCGAGGGTCCCGGTCGCCACCCGGTGGAGGCAGAGCTGGGACCAGCGCAGCGCTCGGTGCAGCAAGAGCAGGATCCGGGAGCCCGAGGAGCTGGCGGTGTCTCGCGGGGCGACGCCGGGGCGCTCCAGCCGTCCCTCCCGCCGTTCCCACGCCGCCATGGCCAACAGCGACGAGTAGTGCGCCGCCTCCGGGCCGTGCACCCGAGCCTCGAGGGCTGTCACTTTGGCGAAGGCCTCGCTCGTGGCGAAGGCGAAGATGGAGCCGAGGGGAGTTAGGAACCTGCGTGTTCGGTGGCGGGCAGAGCGCGGTGATTGGAGAGGGCGCGGGGGAGCCCCGGGAGGCGGCGCCGGGTGGGGGGCGCGAGAGCGCTCACCTGACCAGCGCCCTCCATCCGGCTAGGTACTGCGACAAAACCACGTCCCCTTCGGGGTCCAGGCTGGCGCGGAACGGCCCCATCACGTGGCCCAGCACGCCCTGGGGGCCCCCACACGGAGGCTCTTCCCATTCGGGGGCCTCCAGGGAACCCGACTGCCGCGGGACCTGGGGGTAGACACGCGCGGAAGGGGGCGGGAGCAGAACCCCTAGCCCGCTGGGTCTCCTTCGCCCAGCAGCCCCGTGGGACCCTGCAGAAATGACCCCTGGCTAGCGTGTCTCCTGCCGTACTCGGCTGCGGACGGGAGAGGGGAGCCAAGGCGCAGGACCCGCCCGTCACCCGATCCTCAGCCTGGCCCCGTGCCCGCGATCGGGGTCCCACCCGGAGCTTCAGGCCCCAGCCCTATGCCGGGCATACCTGGACGGGCGGCGTGCCCTTGGGAATGCACGGCTGCGTCCCGGATCCGCAGCCTTGGGGAGGGCCTGGGGAGGGGCGAGGCCGAGCGCTGAGTGCTCGGAGAGGGGGCTTAGATCCCCAGCGTTTGGCTTCCCTGTTCCTCCCCGAGCCGAGGAGGGCGGCGAGCACTCACGCGAGCTCCAAGCGCAGACAGAAAGCAGCAGCAGCAAGAGGAGCGCGAGAGGAATCGCGTGGCGGACCCAGCGCCTCGAGGCCAGCTGAAGCAAAGCGACCCCGACGGCTGCTGCCGGGGCCATCGCTCCCTTTCCAGCCCAAGCCACCCCTTGTCCCTGCGCCTCGGCAGAAGCCTCCGGTGCCCTAAGTTGCTAAGGGTTAATAATTAACCTACTAAGTCCCCTTCCCCTGTGCCCTTTGCCCCAGAGGGCAGCATCCCCGCCGGGAAGGACCGGATGAAGAGGATTGGGGGGATTCACCGGCGAAGAGGATGGCGGCGGGGGGAGGGTTCGGCAGCGACCACACGTCTCTGCGTTTGCCTTCCGCGTGGGACCAGGTGGTAGTATGAGAAAAGAGGGCCTGGGGTCGAACCAGCTCCCCCACTGAGCCATGGTGTGGGCCCTACATTAGCTCTGGGCTTGAATTCTCACCACTGTAAATTGAGGACAATAATAGGTACTTTGTCGATCTCACCTGAGGATTAAATGGTAACTTATGTGCAAACACTGTACATGGAAAATCTTACCACAATTCCTCCATAAATCTTCCCCTATGAAGTTCAAACGCAGGGCACCTGGGGTCCAGGAAGTACCCCCTTCTAAACTCACAAGCCTGTCTCCAGGGGACCTGTCTCCATCTGGATGCTTTATACATTTACATTTTTGCGGTTTAGTTTCTTTTAAACCCCAGATTGGTTCCGGCTCTCCCGTTACTCTCTTTTTTTTTTTTTTTTTGGGTGTGTTGGTTTTTTTTTTTTTTTTTTTTTTTTTTTTTTTTTTTTTTTAAAGTAATCTCTCTGCCCAACGTAGGGCTTGAACTCATGACCTGAAGGTCAGGAGTGGTATGCTCTATGGACTGAGCCAGGCAAGCACGCCCCCCACATTATTCTTCAAACCAAACTTTATGAACTATTTCTGCATCCAGGCCCTGTCCTAAGCCTCAAGAAGACAAAAGAGCCTTCACACAGCTCCAGGTCCAGTGGAAGATGTATCACGTCTCCCCCATGCAGATGTGGGCTCCGATGAAGACAGGGGGCTTGTTTTTCCTGGTTGCTGTTCTATTCGCAGCACTTAGAATAGTGCCTAGGCCAAAATACATTATTGCTATATAAATATGTATTGAATAAACATAGGAAAGTGTGGAGAGCAGGCAAATCGGGTGGTGTACCCTATGACAAATGAGCCTTTTTAGTTTTCTTCCCCAAATAGGAGTCCACCTGGTGGTCATAGCTAGGAAAACACTCAGGGGAAGGACCCAGGAAGTGATGGCAGAAACAGCATCTCATAGGGGTGCCTGGGTGCCTCAGTCCGTTAAGGATCTGTCTTAGGCTCCAGTTATGACCTCAGGGTCCTGGGATCCAGTCTCACGTGGGGCTCCCTGCTCCACAGGGAGCCTGAGCCTGCTTCTCCTTCTCCCTCGGCCTGCTGCTCCTCCTGCTTGTGCTCTCCCTCTGTGTCAAATAGATAAATCAATCTCACACACAAAAAAACAACCCACCAAAAAAAAAAAAAAAAAAACAACCAGCATCTCTTGTTCTTAGGGGTTCTTAACCCCCTGTCCATAAACTTCCTAGAATTGTTCCTGTCTGTGTATGTTTTCTTCTTAGGGGAAGGGGTACCCCAGATTCTCTGGGATTCAGGGCCGCAATCACTAAGGAGGTCCTTTCTAGCTCGCACAGTTTCTGGATTCTTGCCCCATCTCTCCCTCTAACGCTCCCTCCAATCCTGGAGGTCCCTAAGGTTGCTGGTTACCCATCCTCTCCAGCATTTCAGAACATCCTTTCCAACCCCAGATGGAGGGTCTCTCCACCTCCCAGAGTCGGAGTGTTTCCTAGCTTGCTGACCTTGACCTTAGGCACGTTGCTTGCCATCTCTAAGCCCCATTTCCACCATCTGCGGAGTGGAAAGGGTAATCCCCCCCCTCCCACACCCGGGGTGAGGATTGAGTAACAACGCCAGCAGAACAGAGCCAGAAGTGGAGCCTGCAGTAAATGCTGGGGGGGGGGGTGTTCATTCAACTGTTGGTCAGTTCTCTGGGCCCCTTCTCCTCTTCTCCGGTGCTGGAAGCCTCTGTCTCCTTGAGCAGAGGTAGAGTCTGCAAGGTTCCTGGAACGGATTAGTTTTGGGTGTCACTTAATCCAGGAGGCCCTTCCGTAATCAGAGCCTTCAGAGGAGCAGAGGTGGTATAAATCTGCGTAAGGGGCCAGGCTCGCACAGAGGCTGCAGGATGGAGAGGGGGCCAGGAGCCCAGCTGCTGCTGCTGCTATGGGCCACCTGCTGGGGACACGCACCAGCAGACCGGCTGAGCGACTACGCATCGGTCATCGACGTGACCAACGGGGGTCCTTGGGGTGACTGGGCCTGGCCCGAGATGTGTCCTGATGGATTCTTCGCCAGCGGGTTCTCACTCAAGGTGGGGGTTCAGGCCTAGGTCTCTGAGGAGGGAGATGCACGACCCCGTGCAGGGAACACAGCATGACAGTCTTTTAACTGGTCCTTACCCATCCCATCGCCCTGCCCAGGAGGAGCCCCTCCAAGGCATTCCTGGCGATGACACTGCTTTGAACGGGATCCGACTGCACTGCTCGCGGGGGAACGCAGAGCGCAACAAGCAAGTGGTGCAGTCCCAGTCTGGAAGGTGCGGGACAGGGTCCAAGGGCCCTCCAGGATGCAGATATGCCCCTTACCCTGTTACATGCCCACCCTCCGCGCTAGAAGTTTCCTCCAGGGCTGTGGGGCAGCTTAGACCTGGGGAGTGGGTGGAGACCTCCCCTCCGCCCCTTGGCGGAGGTCAGGTGACGAAAACTCGCCCACCCGGGTCCTGCAGCACCCCCTGAGGAGACCCCAAAGCTGGGTCGGGATGGGGGTGGGGAGAAGACCCAGAGGTAGAGCTTCTCCCCTTCCCTCGCAGGTGGGGCGTGTGGAGTGAGCCCCTGTGGTGTCCCGGGGGTGGCTTCCTCGTGGCTTTCTCACTGCGCGTGGAGGCCCCGGAGACCCGGGGGGACAACACGGCGGCCAACAACGTGCGCTTCCGCTGCTCCGACGGCACGGAGCTGGAGGGGCCCGGCCCGACCTGGGGTGACTTTGGAGAGTGGAGTAAGGCCTGCCCCAAAGGCTTGTGCGGTTTGCAGACCAAGGTGGAGCGGCCGAGGGGCCTCCTGGATGACACCGCGCTCAACGACGTGCGCTTTTTCTGCTGCCGCAGTTAACCAGGGCGCCCGCCCCGGGGCCAGTCCCACCGCTCGCTATTAAAGCTTCTCTGTCTTGGCTCTGGTCTTGCTTGTTTCAGGGGTAGGAAACTGTGTCTCCCCACTCCTCCTCCCAGCCCGAGACACTGGGCCAGGCCCAAATCTGGCTTGGGTCTCAGGAGTCCCCAAATGCCACGGAAAGTTACGGACCCATAACCTTGGAAAATACCCTTAAACACACTTTTGCACTCAAGTGCGGGGAGTCCCCGGCCTCCTGAGGGCGTCTGCGGACACCTGGTTGTCATTAGGAGCTCAGGCTGTTTCCTTTCTAAACTACTAGGGACCTCAGCCTGAGAAACTTCTACCGAATTAGGAGACGATGAAGCTAGAACACCTCAAGGTCTCATTTTCTAGAGTTTAAGCTCATTTGTCTTTTCCACATTTTCCTTCCTTTCCCTACGAAAGTGAAAGAGTGGCTTTTCCATGTATGGATTTCCACCTGGGACTTCCCCCTGTGTCCTTGGGGCTCCCGACCTGGAACCCCCCCAGCGACCCAGCTGGCTAACCCACTCACCAGATTGCGGGGCCAATTTCCCTTTCTCAGACTTCATCTTATCTTAAAAAGTCCCTCCAGTGGCGGATACCTATCCCCTTACCAGCGTGTTTTTCTAAAAAGTGAAGTAATCTATTTCCTTAAAAAAAAAAAAAAAAAAAAGTACCCGTCTTAGACCCCCGGGTTGTTCAATTCTTGAGCGCATAGAGCCCTCTTGTCTCGTCTACCGCTGGATTCGAGCGCACGCTCACAGCTCAGGGACCAGTCGCTGGAACGTGCAGGGGTCCCACAACGGGGCGCTGCGGAGGCCCTGCGTGTCTGGAGGCCTTGGAGCGCTCCTGCGTGGACGGGACCCCCCATCTGAGAGGCGCAAGAGAGTTCAAAGTTTTATTTCCAGGGCGGGGTGGGCCAGGCGGGCGTCCAGGAGCGAGCAGAGCGGTCAGCGCAGCCTCAGCTGGGGGAGTCCTGCGGGAATAAGGCGGTGAGGGCGCTGCCAGGCCGCCAGCGGAGTCCCGCTCCAGCCCCAGCCCCCGCCGCCCCACCTTCTTCCTGCAGTCGCCGCAGAAGACGCCGAGGGCGGCGTTCACCAGCTGCACCCCGCACAGCACGATCTCCAGGCACGAGGCGGCCACCAGCAGCGAGAAGAGCGTCACGTTCCAGGACACCACGCCGGGCGGCTCCTCGCACAGATCCCACAGGGTGCGGTTCTGCAAGTAGGCTCCTCTGCGGCAGGGAGGCGGGGGCGGGGCGGGGCGGGGTCACGTGAGAGGGGGCGGGCACCCGGAGTGCCCGCCCCCCAACCCCGCGCAGGCGCCGAGGGGGTTCGGCCCACGTGGAGGTGGCCTCGGCGAAGGCGCGCCGCGTCCCGCGGTTCCCGGGCTCCTGGGCTCCCGGGCTCCCGACAGGTGGCAAACGCAGGGGCGGGGGCGCGCCGAGCCTTACTCGGTGTCCTGGAAGTGGTAGTCCCAGCGGCGGTCCATTAAGCACTTGGGTCCAATTCGGAGCCCGGCTCCTGACACCGAGAGGCAGTAGATGGCCCCCAGCACCCCGAATGCCGAGGAGAAGACGGAGCGCAGCATCTGGGGGCGCAGTGCGAGCGGCGGTGAGCGGGGCCGTTGCCCCCGCGTGCGCGCGCCTTACCCCGCTCGGCTCCAGGCCCAAGCCCGCGGCTGGCCCGGAGCTGCCCCAACGAGCCAGAGGCCGCGGGCGCTCATGGGGGCTCCGGTCCCCTTTGCAGGCCCGCTGAGGCTGAGGCCGGTGGGAGCGGGGGCGGGGAGGGGCGGGGGCGAGGCGGAGCTGGGACCCTGCGGGGGAGCTCCCGCGGCTTCAGGGGTGGCTCTGCGAAGGCCAGTTCGGAGACCCAGCCCCGGGCCCCGCCCTCGTTTGGATCTTACCCTGCAGCGATTTCCGCAGCAGCCCGCACCGCAGCAGCCCTTGCCCCCC